GATGCCCAGGTAAGGGTTAAACGACGTTTCGTTCATCCATGACAAATCGGCGGTGAAGGGCGGGTCGTTCTGGGGGGTGGCATCGCATTGTAGCCAAGGCGGAAAGATCGAAGCGTAGTCGACTCCAGGGGACGCCTTTGCCTGCCGAGTGCCATTAGGTCGGAGAAGAACAAGTACGAAAGTGATGGTGCTTACTTGCTCGGCAGGTGCATCACCAGTACCATCGTTCACAAGGACAGGCGACACCGAAGACTGGGGCCCATGAACGTCGGACGAGTCGATCGTCTGCGTCAGGCTCGCGTTGAAGGCATCGACGGCACTCTGGATCGCAAGAGCGCAAGCCTCGTCGCGCTCCCGAGCCGCACGCTTACGAAGCGATTCACCAGAGCTCAAGGGTTCTTCTGAGCCGAGGAGCTGGGATTGGCGCACACGCTCGGCCCGCATCTTGCGGTACGGGCGCCTCTGCTCTGCGTTCATCGACATCCACAGCTTCCCGGCAAGCTTCGAGACGTTGGTTTGTTTATCGCCAGCGGATTCTCGGAAGGTCTTCCACTCTGGCGCGCGAAGGACTTCCGAGCGGAAGATTAAGAAGGAGTTGGGCAGGCAAGTGGAAAGGTTTTTGGGATGAGAGCTTGAATCCTTTGCATGAGCGCGAGCGTTGCCTTTGGACTTCTTCTTGGGCGCTGACGAAGAAGTCGACTTGTGGTCCTTAGCTTTACTAGAAGAGAGCGAAGGCGGAACCGAGGGTATGGTCGAAGGAACAGCGGCCCAATCCAGGTTCGCGGGGAAGCTTGAGTTATCAACGTCCATAAGGAAGTCGAGGGCATCGAGCTGAAAGTCGCAAACATCAGTCTCAGCACAGATAATATCAATACGGATGAGATGCTCACGGAGGTTGACACCTCATCAGGAGTCGGGAGCACATCAGGAGACGCGGACACCGTGAAGGTCTCGGAGAGCTGGAGGGCAGCGGAGGAATCAGTGGCGGCCATATTGCAGGGATGACGGAGAAGCTGGAGTTGCCTGGGGATATCATACCGACCGTCCTGCTTTTAACCGCACAACGGGCTATGAACGGGGAATGCGCTGAGTGGGGAGGAAAGAGACGGCCAGGAGCATCCCTTCGCTATAATCACATCGAGGAAACTCGAGGCGAATGTGAATGCACTAAAACTGCCCCGTGTTGTGCCATGGCACACGCAGCCTCCTCTACAGTCACATCTCGGTGGCAGATGTGAAATGGGCCTCGTGGATGTGATAAGCCCGGATCGACTGCATGACAGTTGCATCGAGGCGGCGAAGGCTGGAGTCTCGTGTCATTGTCACGCAGTTGACATCATTGTCACGGATAGTGACAAGTCGCGCGCCGCGACATGACTACTCCAGACGAACGTTGACGTTTGAACGCTGAGCGCTGAACGTAGAATCCATGTTATTAGGCATAATATGATGGTAGGTATCAATTTGAACTGATTCTCTGAGGTGCTTGAAGAGGCGTCGCTGCTCGCGACATGAGTCGCGCTGTCCGATTGCGCGCGGAAGTCTGTCTGGCCGCGGGAGGGGCTTAGAGCCGTTTTCATTGTCGTTCTACAGCAAGGCTGGCATTTATCGTCTTGACCACGATGACAAAGAGGAACAGAACTAGCTGCCAAGCTTAGCAAAGAAAGCGGCTCTCGAGCTCACGAGCTAGATACGTGACTACATGCGTCCGAGGACTTCAATCTGCCCAATCTCCGCGGTCATAGAGCCGTTCTCGAGTTTCAGAAAGGTAGGTTTGAGGGATCTCGACGTACTGCGAGAGAGGTTGCGCATAGCGTTCATCTTTTGAGTTGTATGGCGGACTTGGTGCTTTAAACCATCTAGAAGTTCCTGGTGGCACGCGCAGGCCAAAAAAATGGTGTATATCGTGAAGAAATCAGATGAAACAAGTAACAAGGGAGGGTAGTCTGCACTTGGGCTAAATGTATACGTGCCATTGCAATAACAAGAAAGGACGTCTGTGTGTGAGACGCGGGTATCAATGTCAAGCCGTATCCTACTGTTTAATCCTATAGTCGTACAGTTAGCGGCGAGTACATGAGGGTCAGCTGGCTTCAAAACTCACGCGGTTGCCAGGAAGAGCGTGGAAAACTGGACACTCGATTCCCGGCCAATCGTCCCATTGAATCACGCAACAATGACAGGCGATCTCCTCGAGGGGAATGACGCGGACCTCCTCGACCAACTCCGCGTAGAACAACTTGCCACCTGCTTCTGGCCATTGACGAAAGTAGTCCTGTTTCGCATCAGCGTCCTCAAGGGATCGGAAGGATTGCACTATGGCGTAGTCGCGCTGGACTGAGCGCGTCGTCTCAGGAACCTTGAAGCTATGCGTGAATACACGCGTTATACGGGCAAGCTTCCATTCTCCGGATAGCGGTCCAACAGCTACAAAGCAGTTGGGAGGATTGGCACTGTAAGAGACAGGCCCGACGTCGATACTCCTTCGCTCAGAAGGCCGGAGTAGATTGGGCCTGAGCGAGACGCGGAAATCGCGCTGTATGAGAAGCGCAAGTTGCCGGAGAACCTCGGGAACAAACACGGAAGCGTCAAACTTGCGATAATGCTCTGGCGCTGAAGTGGGTTGCTGAGCTGGTTCGAAAGCGAGGATGTCGTTGAGCATGGTGCCCCTGTTGTCCTTTCCCAATAGCCGCTCAAATATGGGCTCGAGCTCCTGCAGATCTGGCCGGAGCCCTCCGTCGTACACCAAGGCACGCAAGCGCTGCTGCATCGTGATACGATGAAACATTGTCGACTCCAGTTCACCTGTATGCAAAGTCTTAAGAAGGACCAGCACTGAGTAGAAGAAGCTCACCGAAGTGGTTGTTTGTGTTGACGAGCTGAAGAAGATAGTTCCAGCGTTCAAAGACGAAGCACCGCCAGGCGTGAGTAGGACCAAGAGAGAGGAGGAAGTAAGGGAGATGGAGAGATAGATGCTGATTGGATTCAAGGGATATGCCAGGGAAAAGTTCGCGAAGTCCTTCCAGCCAGAGCTTCATGTGCTTGACGTACGTCCGCACGCGTGCTGTTGTCATCTTCCGATAAGCCGCCACTTTCGTTGCCGTGACGAGATGCATCAGGTTGTCGAGTAGGGCCCGCTCGCGAGAACCTTCGAACTGTGATCCGCCCCACAAGCGCCCCATGGTGATCACTAGGTTCACAAGGACGAACGAACGCCAGTCATCCGCGGAGACTTTGCGATGTTTACCGTCCCCGATATGACGGGGAGCCTTACCCATCCAGCTGGGAATGACGGTGCGCTCCATATCCTTCCAAAGCTGCGAAAGGCGGCGCTTGCCAAGAATCGACGTTCTTTTCCGGCTTCTTCCAGCAAATGTGCGTACAGCTTCAATGAATCGCGCGGGATCGCTGTTGAGGAGTTCTCCGCTCGGACTTACGATGCCCTGCTCCTGCCGCTGGAGTCAAGCGGGTAAGATGACCTGCCAGGGCTGTAGTTGCAAAGGAAGCAGCTCACCAATCGATTCACCCTTTCCAATAACTGCAGTTTGGTTAACTTCTTGAGGTCGTCACGTATAGGGTCTTCGGAGCCAAGCTGCATGGCGTCTGTCAAGCCAGCGAGCAGCACCTTCTTTGTAAACTCGCTAAAATACTCGGATTCGGGCGCAAATGCGAAGTATTCCTTGAACGATGCAAGTTCCGAAGGATGAGGTTCCGCAAGGATCTCCGATATGGGGCGGGGCACTTGCGTCTCGTCAAGATCACCGAGCCTCTCGCCGTCCTCACTGAACCAGTTCATACGGATCCGCTACAGAAAGCACTTAAGCTCTACGGGCCAGTCCCACAGTATCACATATGCGTCTAAACTTACCCATTGAATCAAGCCCGCAATATAAGGTTCCTTCGTCCCCTTGTTCCGCCCGGCGAGGCGAGGAATAGGCACACCTTCTCGAGAGACGAGAGCGCGTAACTGATCCAGCCTCATCTTCTGTAGAACATCCCCGGAAGAAGTCTTGACATGGAGCCAGAGCTCGTCCAGGAGTGCGTCGTGAGGACCGAGTGGAACTGGGTCGTAGAAAGTACCGTCGCCGTCATCGCGTGAGGCCGACATGCCCCAGAAGCCGCGGCAAAGTCGCCTGAGGTTCCCTTCGAACAATGCATGCATCATGTCGATGACAGTCATGCGAGAGGGATCCCAATAAGGCAAACGCAGGAGAGCCGAGTAACGGACGCCGGACTCTGCAAACACCTTCTCACGCTCGGCGGCGGTGGGCGCGTCCCGCCATCTCTGAGCGCAGTCCTTGTGTGCGGCGAGTGCTCGCGGTGGCCACGACTTGGGATTGAGATTATTCCGCTCCTTGTACGGCAAGAGGCAGTACGGGCAGAAGAATGTGTGGTTATGGGCGCCAAATCCTGAAACTTGCCGGGCGGCGGGGGTATCGCAAACGACGATGAAGAGAGCCAGTCGGACTAGAACTCCGGCTTCGTGAAGGGGTACACGGGAGTACGCGACACCGTCTTTCCAGAACTCGAGAAGCATCTCTACTACTATTGAAAGAATGCTGTTGATCTGAGACGTGGAGGGGGAGCCGGGGCCGGGGATAAGGCCGACGAGGAACATGTTCTCGACCCGGTAGCGCAGGTGAGGAGGCAGATTCAGACAGACCATGTACATGGCTGTGGTCGTAGCTTTACGGCCAGCTTCCTTCATCTGAAATGGGTTGAAGCCGTCGATGTTTAGAGCAAATACAAGCCGTATCTCGCCGACGTGGACTGTCATGAAGTGTGTTTTCCCATCCGGCCCCATGAAGTTCGCGAGCTCGAATGCGTCCCAGATATCTCCCATCTCCTCCTTCAGTGCTGCCTCGCTGATGAGCGCCGACACAATCCCGGGACGGCTCAGCAACCAAGCTATCCAAGCCTTGAGATCTTGGAGGACGACCCGCCGAGCGGGGTAAGTCCAGATCTGGCCCGCGATGTTTCTCTGCCTCGTGAGAAGCTCGCCGCAGGGTGGTCCGTCTGGTGCGGTTGGCTCTGAGCATCGTTCGGGATATGAGCCCAGCCCGTGGTCGGGATAACAGGCGTAGCAGGAAGGACAGCAAACGCGGGAGCTATATTTCACGCGGAGGCCCAGATTTTTCACAACTGTGCGGGTGTCGTGAGGTATCGAGCCGATCTCCGCCGATATGTCAGCCTGCGTCATTCCGGTTCTGCGCAGGGCCAGACGCAAGACGAAGCTGAAGCTGTCTAGAAGAAAGCGACATTTCTCTTCGGAAAGGCCAAGCAGCAGAAGTGAGGCGGCGATGACGACGCAGACAGCAGAGGCAACTGGGGTTGCGCTGCTCATAGGTTCGACGAAGTAGGGTGCGGTGTCGTATACGGGTCCGTTGGCTTCGCGCTCGGCGGCGGCGGCGGCGGTTTGTGCTTCTACTGCCGTGGCTTGAGTGAAGTAGGCCACGCTCAGGGTGTTGGCCAAGGCCACGAATAGCGCGTCCAGCTTAAGGAGCAAAGCATCCTTCTCCCTACGCGCTTCCGGCCAGTTTTCGGTGTCCACGCCCTCCACCGTTGTCGCCAGATCGTGAAGATCCCAAAGTCTCTTGAAGAAGGGGTCGTTGGCGGAGTCGCTAGGGTCTAAACTTCCTGGATCAATATCTGACGCCCGCGTCGTCGACATCGGCGTGTGGGCGAAACCGAAATCGTCCGCTTCCATGACGAGGCGCGGCAGTCCTTCGACGACGTCGCGAAGTTCTCGTATCTTGACAATACAGCGGCATTCAAAGAAACCGGGAAGAGCGTCGGCCGCGACGGCCGCTAGTTCCCGACGAGCGCGAGCTTGCATATGGAGCGAGTGAGCTTAAGGAAGGCGCTTTAAGATATGGCGTACTCACCATCTTCGGCCTCCCGTCGTATCCGATCGTTCTCGTCATCGTAGCGATGAGCGCCAAGCTCATGTTTGTCTAACAGTCTTCCGGGTACGGTGATTCGTGTGAGAGGATGTTGGCACCGTTCCTTCTCGCAGCCATGAGTGCGGCAGGTGCAAATGTGCACTTTGAGAGGATCGGATGGCATGAGCCGCCTGTATAGCTGGCTTCGCGATGTGACTGAAGTATGCTTCAGCAGTGCATAGGACAAGTTGGCGTGGATTGCTCACCTATCGAAGGAAGATGGTGGGAGATAAGAGGAGAGGAAGCGATCCTCTTTCCGCGCAAGCCTATTGATCGCAACTTGGTAACTCCCGTCGCCGCACTGTGGAGAACTATCACGCTCGACCAGCTCTAACCGCGGTGTGCGAGACTTGAGTCTAGCTCGACGTCATGCTCCGTCGCTGCCCGTGGTTAAGCACTGTACAAGTGTCCAGGATTTCACTCACCTGCACACAAGGTTTATTCGTGTGATCCAACTCGAGCGTTGTCGGAGACGGGGCACCGAGCCCTAGAGATTCTGATGCGCATCGGCCCTTGGCACAGGGGCTCGAGAGCGCACAACGCACCATGCTCATCCGGTGCGGCATATCTCCAACCCGTAGAGCTTAGATCATGATCTGACCGCAGACACATGCGTACATTTCCATACATATACAGTACAGATTAAGTACTCGCGTGGCAGAATAGAGCTCGACGTTGTGGCCGGGAAACCCGCGGGACCGTCGTTGAGCGTTGATTATTGATTCACCGATAGATGGTGTTCATCGTGCCATGATAGTCGCAAACCCGAAGCGCGGGCAAGATGATCTTGTTCGATTGAGACACGGCTTAATAATCGACCAACGGTACGATAAGTACTAGAACGGAGAGTCAGTCGACGTCTGGATCCGACGATGCTCCGGCGCACCTTCCGCCTCCGGATCCCCACATTCACTAGTCTTGCACATACAATCTGGGGTCTAGGTCATACGCGCTAGGATTTGACAGCCTAGATCGAGTAGGCGAGCGGCTCGAGAGGGCGTTCGCGCACCGTCACGGATGCAGGAGGCAGAATATGCAACGGCACGCGGCGCTCCCGCGAGGTTGTGCCCTTAAACTCCAGATTAGATTAGATTGATCTACGTACTGTCTCGGAAGCCACGCGCGCGGCGCGCGGGGTAGTATCATTGTATCAGCGGCCTTCCACTCATTCTCTCTGAGTCCGGAAAGCCCCGTCACACTGCGCCCTTCCCTTGCGTAATTCCCACCATTCAGGCAAATATCCAGTGTATTGGACCATCTAGTAATAAACATCTGGTCTCTACGCGGAGTATTTCACTCTCATACGGCTCTCCCTCGGTGCCTCCGAGACCGAGGGCTCCGAGTCATCTCGCTTGCGTTTGGAAGAGATCTCGGACGATTGGGCAGTCCCATGCGTGGACAACTCCAGCAGCGGCCGTGAGGCCCGCGCGTACGCGACAGCCCTCTCCATGAGAGCTGTCAATGGCTCCTGCGACAAGGACCTGGTACAGTATCGGCATCTGCACTGCCCTGTCAAAGCCCCATTCATGAGCCAGATGGCGTGCGGCACGAACTCAGCGCCAGTTGCATAACGCGCGGACCCGCCTGTAACTTTGTTGATGCTATATCCCAGCTGACACTGGTGGGCAACGTACCATACAGAAATATGTCCACGCGTACTTTTGTGGGGTCTCCCTGTACGAGGGGGAGAATGCGTCGCGTGAGAGCATAACCGGTGGGAAAGTCTTTCAGCGTCCATCGAGGTTCGGGTTTGCGACTCCCGGTGTTGGCCCCTGCTTTGCGTAATCAGCTACAGGGCCGAGAAGCATACGAGAAACATTCGCACCTGAATGAGCTCGCGCAAAGAACGCCCCTCCAATAAGCCTGCCTATATCACTACGCCAGGTCAGGCTGTCGGCATCGTCTAGACCGAGAAGTTCGTATCCTGACTCGCGCTGCGGACGACGCGCATGCAGACCATCTGAGGTGAGGATGGAGACAATGTTATTCTCCACGACGTAGTTCGATGTGACAGCACTATATGCATTGGAGTAGAAGTCGTAGTTGAGTGGATGTTCGCCGAACGCATAGACCAAAAAGTCGTAGGCTGATCCAGAAGTCGCCTCATCAGAGGACGTTTCGGCACCCGGAGGTAGTGACGTCTTCTTCCCTCGCGGCTTGGTGGAAGGCAGCGCACGCTCTGATATCGGTGCATGTGTCGATGGCAACGCAAGAGATGGCCGATGTATGGGGTAACTCGAGCGGTCAAACAAGACAGGGCGATGGCCTGTAGTGGCTCGCGGTGCAGGGGATTCAGATAGCGCATCGATCGGATGTTCTTGGGGCGTCACAGGATCCTCGGAAGGCGGCACACGCGCAGGCACTGGCGCATGCGTTGACGGCGACACTCTTGATTGTGTGTGAAGGGGAGAACCCGTATGAGCAAGTAAGACAGGACGACAGCCTGCCATAGTAACTGGTAGTCCAGGCGGCGGTGCATCGAGTGGATCCTCAGACGGCGGCACTCGACCTGATGTCTCTTCGCGCGTTGATGCCGACACATGCGGCGGCGACTGAAGGGGAGTACTCATATTGCCGGGCAAAGCTAGACGGCGGTTTGTAGCGAATGACGGTCTGGGATTTCTCGTGTCTACTGGATGTTCAAGCGTCACAGAGCCGCTGCCTGCACTTTCAACGAAACTGCTAAGCCATCCGGGCTTGGGGGATGTGACGCCTGAGCATTCAAGAAGCGCTTTGAGAAACATTGCGTCGGAATACTCCGTTTCAGACGTTGTCGGGTCTTCTTCCCGCGCAGGAAGAGCAACGGCGCCGGAGATATGACTGGGGAGAGTGGTGTGGACCGTTGTAACAGGACGCGAACGCAGACGCGGCACGGGTGCTGGTGGCAGGGATGGATCAAGGAAGCGCGGTGTAGGCCAAGAATCGCGCGTAGCGGTCGGCGTGGGATGCTGAACGGCGGGGCGAGAACCAACCAGCTCCGCGAGTACCACACGGCCAACGTGCCGCAACCATTCGAGCGTCTTCTCTAACTCATGCCCTCCATGTGTCAGGTTCTTCCCCGGGTCTGTACGGAGGTACTGCAGCAGATTCATGATTTTATGGTATGTCGTAGCCGTCGGCTCAGTCATCCGACTGATTATGAGAGTCTGTCGCCTGCTGGTCGTCATGAGCAGGGTGCATATATGATACTCTCGAAAGTACGCACAATGTTTCTGATTTCAGCTGGGAGGAGAGGAGGCGAAGGTCTTGCACGAAGGAAGATAGGGTCGGGTAGTTGAGACGCGTCAATAAATCCGCGATCTCCCAGTAATGCTGAGCGAGCGCCGATTGCACGTAGTCGCGGAGATCGCTAGTGAGCAGCAGACTGTGCTCGGAAGGGAGAGCATGCGCTGCGACAGGAGGTACAGATGCGGATACATCAGGCGGAGTGACGGTGGACATGATGGTCTGGGGTAAGGCAGGCAAGAGGATAAAGAGCATCGTCTTTCCTCACATCGTGTCTATAGCTTACCGTCTCGTGTATAGAACAAAGGGCATTGCGTGCCGCGTGTCGCCTCGTGTCGGACTGGCCAGGAGATAGACACCACGGAGCACGATAGCTCTTGCCGCATTGATCAGAATGTAGCACTCGTGCTGATTATCATGGTTGATCTCTACGAGACTAGCCGCTGTCTGTGCGATACAAGGTACGGGTATTGTCACGCAAAGACTACACCTGTGACACATCGCGCCTTGTGACATGGGTCCCGCCGACGACGAGAAAATCTACTGATACATGATAGACCAGCTTCGAAGAGAGAGGGATAGCGAGTCTGTTCGCCATAGGCATATCCTAAGAAATACTTCAGGATTGGAAGATCGAGCGTATTGCGAGAAACGCACCGTCAATGAGGAGTCACACGATCATAGTCCAGGCTTAAGACCACGCCTTGGTCGCTGCCTGAATGACGCCATCCAAGAGCCCGACAACCTTCCCCATTGATCCCGCGACGACAGTGGCCCAGCTAGGGCTCTCGTCTTCGTCTTGATCGAAGCGCTTCTCATCGGAGGATAGGCCAAACTCTTTTCCAAGTTTTCGACGACGGTGACTTGATTCTTGTAAAAGCTCATAGCGGCGCCGAATCGAATTGCGCTCGAGTTCGTGGCGGCGATGCGATAGTTCGAGCTCGAGTTGGCAACGACGGGTCAGATAATCTTGCTCGCGCTCATAGCTTATTACACACTGCGACCGTCCGATCGGAGAACCTTCCAGACAGCTTGCCCTCGAGCCGCAGTCACGAGAAGGGGGTTTGCTTTCGCCATCGCCATGCGTACTGTCGCACTGGGGCCCCATGTCAACTTCAACCTTGAATCGGTTCCATGAGCTCCACTGCGACAGATTCAAGAATGCGGACACTCACGCAGATTGAACTTGATCGTGACCCTGACCTCGTACATCACGGCGTCTCGTGGGGATGGAAGGGTATTGTCCCTGCTCCACGAAATGGGCGATCCGGCGCATTTTCTGAGGAATGACCTGAGTAGGGCTGAAACGGAGCTCAGAGCCGCCTTGCGTATAGTCACTGGGGTGGGTCGGGTCATTGTGGTGAAGGGACGAAGGGTAGTACGGAATTTGATCGATCGTCATGGTGGATACCGGGTTTATAGGTGTGACTCGATGGGGCACTAGCAGGTAAACCAGATAAGTCGCTTTCTTATAGACTTCCAGGCATCACCACTTACTGTGTCAAGTCCGGCAGAGTTGCGAGTTGCGAACAAGCACTGAACCGGCTCGGCGGCTGGTAGAGCAGGAGATCGGTGTAGCTCATGTCAAGTCTTATAGCCCATGAAGTGTCAGTAGGGTATCCAGAAGGAGAAAAGCGGAAAGACTTACATGACCATCTATAGATACAAGAGAAAGACGACAATAGGTGGGTAAAGCCGGTAAGCGGCACAAAGACGGAAAGCTGCACAAAGACGGAAAGCAGTGAAAAGACGGACGAGATAGAACTGAGTATGTGCTACGATGAGACAGAGACAGTCACAGATGTAGCATTCAGATGCATGCGCCAGCCTAGGGCTTAAGTCTGGGTGGTCAAGTCAGGGAACATGGGAAGTCGGGACAAGAATGGGAAGTTCGGATTCGTGAACGTCATGGCAGCCCACATGATTCGGCCTAATTCGGCCTGGCTCGGCGCGGCCCGCCGCGGTCCGGCCGCGAACTGGATTATTATCCTTATATAGCTTAAAGACTAAGTAAACCCGTGAGCAAAAACCTCGCTGGATGCGGTCAATGCGCTGTAGGGGTCGCGCTGTCCACACATACGCTTGATCCCACTTGTCCGAAGTGCGACCTGATCTGGATATACATTCGGCTTTCCTCGGCGCAGTTGTGAGGAATCAGGAGTGCAGCAGACACCTACTCTGTTCGGTGTGCTATATTTACCACGCCCTGAGCAACAACGAGTCATAGCAGCTTATAGTGAATGCTAAAGTCGGGCCAGAGGGGGCCCATGCAGTTCCGCATCCAAGCGGCAGTGAAAAGTTGCAGAACGGCAGCGTCGTACAGACGGGTTGATATTTGATGGAGTTTGATACAAAGCGAGAAACGCGGGGTGTAATACAGTGAGCCCAGGGAACACGAGTGTGAATGTGAACGAGCAGGTTGTAGAAGAGCATACGGGGGGTTCGCGGGAGCAGAAGATAGAAGGGGGGGCGCTAAAAGGATGCGCGAGAATGACGGGGCATAATGTAGGGTTATATGGCTTCTGATCGTTGTTTGAACAAGGATGAGAGTAACGGAGAGGTACAGGGCTGCTCGAACATCCCATGACCTGTTTTCTGGTTCGAAGCGCGGCAATACGAGTGTGGCGATCTCATCTGTAACCGCTTTTGCGATGACCCTGGAGGATGGGCGCGTCGATGTTGTAAGCGAGGTGCGTCTGCAGATGTTGTTCGTACGGTGGATGGGTGCAGAGTAGGGATTGGGCACAGGACCACGGCCTTGCATATGGAGCGCGGCCACGCTGATGAGGTTCTACTGCACCGCTGCGCGACCACCAGCCGAACCTCGATACACCCTTATGTTCGCGCTGGAGCTTATTCGCGATCCATTTGCCGCAGGATAGTCTTGGGATGAGGGAGGGAGCCGGGCAGAATCCTCGACGGATCATGCGCGTTGAATGGATCCAGCATGGTCCACCGCGATCTGAACATAGTGATTACCATACGGGGCGAAGGCGCTCAGGCGCGGGCGGCTGATCGATGAGGACTTTGCGCATCGGGTGCTCGCCGACGTGGTCGCACTGCCTGAGAACGTGGGGCAAGAACTCCTGGACCGAGAGAGCGTAAATATTCTCGGGGAAGCGGGTATTGTCGACGTCGGTGATGTTATATGATATCTGCAAGGATGCAGACCAAAGCGCGCAAAGATAGTAGCGTGAACGCGCAGAATTGACGTATGGGGCTTGTGCGAGCGTGAGGGCGTTATAGGTGATCTCGTTGACAAGCTAGATGCGCCAGTGGTCCAATGTGTGGTCGGTGCAGCATTGAACACGCAACAGCCGTGACAGTGAGCTGCGTCCTGGACGCAGAGATTCACGATGGCGTTTCCCCACAAAGGAGGCGGGCGAATCGGGCGATACGGGGGCGATGACATTCGTCGTCGGCTACTGGATGTTCGGCACAGTCGGCGTGAAGTCTGCGGAGCTCAGGGCCGAAAGGCTCGCTTAGTGGCAATATGGTGCCCGCATTCGACACCGCTGAGCTGCTGCCACTCGCTCGGAAGCTCGTCGCGCGATTCTGCATGACGGTAGGTGCAAAAGCTGCGCGCGCGATCGAATGCGATCAAGGAGTTCTTGTCCGGGCTACAATCCGCTCGGTCAGTACATACAGAACGAGTTTCTGGTACGAAAGTACCTACCCCCTAGCCGCCTGACAAACTTTGTCCTCCCTAAGCATAGCGTCTGAGAAACTATAAGAACGTGTAACTTCTTCCATGCGATAAGGAGATGTCCTTACTGTATACCCCGTCACCCAGCTGCTCGTCGAGCGCCATTCCCATTGTGGATGGCGGTGAAGCTCGACGACGGTGTGGTGCCGAACGCCAGTACTGGTTGTGAGGCTTATGCAAGATGTATTCCAGGCCCAATGCCATGCTCTCTTCCATTGCACTACCCATTGCCACGACCACTTTGCATACCTCCGGAAGCCGACGTCGAGTTCCGGATGTGCGCGTAATAGACTTGCACTTGACTGAACCGTTGCCGACCATGTGGCCGATGTCAAGAACGCGGTAGGTTGAAGAGGCGCGGGGGCTGAAGAGTATACTTCGCTATTGAGCGGAGTATTGGCACGTCGGGACGGAGTATGCACCGCCCGGAAACTGGAGAGACTCCCATTCCTGCTGCCTTTGGAAAGGTAAAAATGAGGTCGAGACACGCGCGGGAGCACTGGCACGAACTGCATATGCTGACACTGTCCCCCTGCCATGGACGAGCGGCGACTATACTTGGGTGGAGTAGACGGGTGACGACTGTGTGCAGGCCATTCCGGCGAGTTCGCTCGACGGGCTTGTTCGGAGGGAGTCGGGTGTGTATACCCTACGTTATCTGAGTACGGACCTCTACCGAGTAGCACTACCATACGCACCTAGAATCCCATCCATGTGCATACCCATGCACCACTCTATGAGGTCGGATGGTGGTAGCCGCATGGCGGAGAAGGCGATGATATGCATGAGCAGCTGCCAGCAGATGGAAGTCCGACGGCAAGATTACCCTGCCCCTGAAGGCCTGAAGACGCAGGCCGTCACGGCGAGCGGCCTCCTTGTCAAATACCACCATCTCCGCAGTCACGTACAGTGTGATTCTCGGCACTCTTCCGTCTGGTCACTCATGATGCTGTAATGATGTACTCTTAGTGTGAGCGCGAGCCCATCCAGAGCGCATTGGGCGCCGTCGTTGTCTCTTGACGAGCCCCTGTCCACAGCTTAGACTCGGAGATGGTAGACATGTCACAAGTACCATTTTGGCATTCTATACTGAATCAACCTAGTGCCAATTCTAAGAACTAGTGTCGTCTGTGTCTCAACTTACCGGGCCGGCCTCATACAGTACGGCCTGGGCTTACGACCACACTGAGTAGCGCAGTATACGTATACGCGCAAGTATACGCGCAAGTGAACTTAAATTCCGTCAACCCCTTCATTCGACTATCTATCTCTAACCCGTTCTGAATCCAACTTCCGCGCGCTTTGACAAGAGCTACTATGTCTTCGCCTCGTGCATATCGCCATAAGCGTATGTAGTATCTCGTCTGAACAATTCTGCGCCGCGAACATACCAAATATCACGCCTTAGCATGATTACGATCGAGGCGTCTGTAGACATTGTCAGCATAGAATGTATATAGCGAAATGCACTACTGACTTCGGGAGCGGTGGCATTGTTTCCCCCCTTGCACGAAGCTCAAGTCTGTATGCTCTAATGTCCGCTAGCCGTTTACGCTGCGCTTCGGTCTGCGGAACAGTAGATGATGCTCGGGAACGGTGGACCATCATCCCGAGCCAAGAGCATGTCATGTACGAAGATATGCAGGGGTTGCCAATGTAAGTCCTAGTGCGTGCATCCAGCCTGCACGGTCCTTTGACGGTCGGATAATCTCTGCGGGTATGTCAGGACGGTCCCCAGAGTGTTACGGAGTCACACTGACACTGATGCGTCTTCCCAGTAGCTCTCCATTGCTGCGCGATGGGATTTGAGAATGTCCGTGGCGCATCCTTTCTCACAAAGCATGAAGAGAGCCAAGACGACCGCTTCGGAGGAGCACGAATTCGGCTTATACTCCAATGCCTCCGCGAAGTCCTTATAGGTAGTACCTCTAGACACTTTGAGAAAGAGTGTAGTAGGGCGTGCATGAGTGGCGTCTCGACAACGTTTTCTTGTCTCTGCGAGAGCTTCCTCTGACGTGAATGTGGACCTGGCCAGCTGCTGCAATCTGCATATGCTGTATCAGAACACAATAACATGTTATAAGGCAGCCACCTACTCTGCTACACGCTCATTACGTTCAAGAAGAGCAGTGGCGATGGTGACATCGGAGATAGGCATATTGAGAAGAAGATCAGAATGCACTAGATTGGTAGCGATCACCATACCAGAGGGAAGCTCTATATATGACGCCCGAGAGCCATTCCGTCTGTCGCAGAATCACTCCAGTACCAGCCCGCGTAAGTTTGGCAGGTGTGCATGCGAAAGACGAAAGACGAAAGACGAAAGACGAAAGACGAAAGACGGTAGAAAGAACCCAACGCTCGAAGAAAAAGAACCAAGAGACGAAAGGGACTGATAAGAGCTGATAACCACGTGGAACCATCATGCTGCCCGATTCAGACATTGATGCTGCATCCAAGGATGCCGCGAATCGCGGAACCGCATCGCCGCACGCGTTGCGAGCTAAACTTGAACAGCGACTCGGACAGTTCGTGCATGTCGATCATACCCCATATTAGACACCCAGACCCTGTTCTCCGCACGTCAAGTGTTTTGTTTCGGAGCACAATAACATGCTATACCACGACGACATGATACAATATGCACCATCCTCTCGATAGAGGCGGCTCAGAGAAGATGAAACCGGAACTCCGCGACCCTCTGATCCCTACGACCCCTTGTAATGTTCGGCTCGGCTCCGATAGTTTGCTCGGCCTCAGAAACCATCACAGAGATATCGCTCTGCTCTAGAGCGAGCGGGTGATTCCCCCCCGAGCCCGGAGGTTGTATGAAATTCACCGTGAGTAGGCGGGACGTGGTATCGCCCAAAGGGCCGATCCAAGCTTGCAGAAGGGATGACAACAAGATTCTGAGGTCGTGGGTTACGTCCGTCGCCGGAGTCGATGCGTGGTGTATAGTCGCCTGTTCAAGCGCCGGGAGGAGTAAATGCTGTAGCATCCGACTACATGCGTGTTCGTCGTGGCTCAGAGACAGAGACACCAACGTAAGCAGCGTGATCTTTCGATCGGGATTGACAAGTCCGGTGGAAGAGAATGCGCGATGTAATAGCAATGAGCACAGATGCTGATTGCGCGAAAGTATCTCCAGTAAGTCGCTAAGGGTTAGTCTGGTGATGGCGACTCTTGACATGGAGAGCGAGAGCGAGCGGAGACCACTGCTGAATGGCGGGCGTATGTAGACGTTATGCAAGTTGAGGGCGCGCAAGCCGTCATGTTCCACCAATGGAGACCGTGCATCAATAGAGCGTGGTCTCATTGCGGAGAGATGTAAGTTCACCAGAGCAAGAGGGACGCCAATGGAAACTAGATCGGGAAGCATGTTGACATCCTGCTTTCCATGTCGTTCTGTGTATTCGATCCTTGACGACCGCGGTACGAGGGATAGAAGGGTGGCAATTTCGTCTTTCTTGGCCTCTGTTGACCACAGATCGAGGTGCAGACAGGCCTGACGTGCCAGCGGCAGAAGAGTGAGGGCACGCTCGGGCTCAAACTTGAAGATGTTCTGAGCCCAGATATTCGGCATGCCGAAAAGAAGCACGCGCCAAGATCGACACACTTGACCCAGCCTCAACCAGGTGTAATTGACGACAATAGGGCGGCGATGAGTTATGGGACCGTTGCGCATGTCAAGCTCGAAGATGACACCGAGTATCTCCGGGGGCAAAGAAGCGATAGGGAGGCGAAGGTTGATTGCCGCTCTCCAGCGCGCGAGAAGATAGTTGCGACGTTTCGAATCGACATCCACGAGCACTTGCCGGGAGCGTTCGATGTAAGACGACGCATCTAGCAAGTCGTCCGGTGAGCCTGAGACGAGGGCGGCCCTTAAACGTTCGTCGGCAAGTAAGATGTCTTCAAACTCGACTACTGCACTCGGCGCCAAAGAGAGCATGCTATACAACATCGGCAAAGTTGGAGTCCGCATCAGTACGTCTCGAAGGGCGCATGGGTACAGCAAGGCGGACCTATCACACGGCAAAGGTAGAAAGGTCGGAAATTCGGACATATCTTCACGACGACAGACGAGACCTAGGCAAGATATCAACGATGAACAGAACAACAGGAATGCATTATTCACCAGCTCTTCGGAACACCTATCATCGATGATCGCTGTTAGAGATCTACCAGGATCCACCGCGTCAGTCGTCAACGCAGCGAGCACGTGGGTTCAAGAACCCTTCTCACGCTATTCATTCCTCGGACTTGAGATCGGACCGCTAGGTATCTTCTTCTGCGCCGCGATCACCGCATACATCCGATAGTCACCAATAGCTCACCGATGCGCAATACGGACTGCGTCTCGACAGGGCTACTTCGCTTATAGCGACGCGTGGATACACCGACCATCAACCACTGTCTGCTAAGGCCGGACTGCCGTAGACACCTTCACTTGTGCATATGGGCGTCATCCAGACATCGTAGAACTGATGCTGCACGCATGGTCCTACGCCTGGGACGATGTTGTGCAGCATGGAATGTTCTCCCACTGATGCCAAAATGAACTTCGTGACGCCACCTGTCCTCGCTGAAGGCCCGCGCTGGGTCGTTACCGGTGCTACGAAGACGGCTAGCGGCGAATGATTACTCAGACCAGCACTTCAACTGGTCTATCGATACTCTACCGTCCCTCAAGAGAGTCCCTCAGCTTGCGTGTTCTGGGTAAGTTCTCTCGCTTACGGCCTGCTGTGGGCACGTCGGTATCTTGATCCGCGCTTTACTTGGTCACTACAATGCATGCGACTGCTGGTACGGGTAAAGCTAGTGATCAAGCGCTCCGGAAAAGATACGACAATAGCTCACTGTTGCGATAGGTCGGCCTTCTCACGGAGCACAAAGACGGCAAAGAGCAAAAGCGCAAAAGCAGGAAAGAACGAAAGAGCAAAAGAAATTGGAGGAAAGCTGATCACGTCATCGTACCACGCGCAGCGAGGCGCTAAGCCTACAAGTACCGCCCAGGAGAACGTCGACAAACCGACGCTCCAGTCATCGTTGCTTCCATAACCCATGTCATATTCATCTGAGCTTCTGCTTCTTACCGGCGAGTTCGGCGTGGACGAGGCCGACTATCTACCACGTGCTGGCCTCTGGGCCGATGGATCTTCTCGTCTACGTCAGGCACAAGCTGAGGCCGGTGCTCCCGCCCTTAGTGTGCGGATGAGCGAACAAGACCCGGTACTGCAGTTGCGCGACTCGGAGGATTTCCACGATGCTACCTCTGATGACGAGGTTGACACTCCGCGCAGGGTGCACTGGCCGGACGACTTTTCAGTAGTGAGTCGCTTCTTCAAGTTTCATTCATGCCATGACTTTGCTGACCAGCGCTTCTTAGAACGATTCCGACACCGAGCAATCTAGTAGCGACTCTACAGAACTCGACGAACTCGATGAACTGGGGGACCCTGCACAACTCGAGAAGCCAAGCAGTGACGATATCCCGGCAGAGACATCGTCCGAGGGTAGGCAGATGCGTCGTAGAGTGAACGAGGACGTGCACTGACAGAATGTTTCAGTAACTTCAAGATGTGACCCGAGTATGCCGATACCTTCAGGCTCGTTTCCACAGTTCGACCTTTCTCCTGTCATTCGAAGCCCTCAGGTGGGTAGACTATTGCGATTTGCGCTCACGCACGCGACTTATACCCGTGGCATACAGTCCGATATCATGACAAAGCGTCGACAGGCCATCCGGAATGTCTCAGGCCGATACACAACTTGGTTTGTACTTGAGGGTGGCGAACCCCTATTAGCCCCGCCCCCGCTTCATCCGTCTGTGCATCTTGAGGTTGGAGACCTCTTCCTCCAGTTCCATACGTCTGTGTCATCCAGAACCGTCAGAGTATGGATGATAGTCACTCGAGGACAAGCGGAGCTATGCTGGCAAAGGGTACGCCTGGTGTCCGTGCCAGTTTTGTCTTATAAGAACTCATTGGTTATGATTCTAGTGTCAATCAGCCCCCGTGGTTCACCCAACTCTGCGCGATCGTACGCTCGCGTTTCTGCTCAACGACCAGACAACCCCTTCGTGGGTCTTACCCGCGACTTTCAAGAAGTTGCAGAAGCAACAACCATGTCTCGTTTGACCCAGTACAGATGCCGACATGCGGTGGTAAGGCGTGACACGATGACAGTTGTTGTCAATGGTAGACTCTGAGCCTTGCATGTACTACTTACCCCCGCTTCTCAAGTACCGTAGAGATGTTTACCCGGTTACTCTGCGCTGTACACTACGATGGACCAACTACAAAGGCGTGGTTTCCGCTGTAAGAGATAAGATGCTGCTGATTTGCTTGTCACATATACTCGGATTTGAGACAGCTTCGTGATGACACCGTATGAAGTCAGTAGTGAGCAGGGTGAGAAGGACCCACCTACATGTTTCCACGAAGCAATCCCCTTCTCATGAGTAGAATGCGTATCTGCTGGCAAGTACATCACCGTATATCGCCGGAGAGCAAAAGAGCCCAAGTCAGGTGATCGCGTGTGTGAGGTCGGTTGACGCCTACGGGTGGCCAACTTGCTCTCCGCCTCATCTCTTGCTTCTGGTCGTCATCCAGCTCCGTCGCTGTCTCTGGACCCACGATCTCACTCGATATCCACGACGCTCCAGTATATGCTCTGATGACTTTGCATACGCACGGATAACTTCTTCGACCACCTAGCCCAACTCGCCAAATCTTGCCCTGCCGCGTAACGATTGGTGTTATAGGCCATCTGGGCCTGCCGCTACATTCTCGCGTGGAGAGGTCACTCACACGTACGAACGATCCGAGTGGACTCTCAAAGCGGAGGACAAGATGGAGTCGGCCTTGAAGAAGCCGACTTGGCAGTGACCTGTATACCCGAGGTCCGTTATTCATATATCGTGGATGTTGAGGACTCGTACTTATTGTGTTGCCGCCTTGTATCAGCACACCTCACTGGGCATGCTGCTCATGGGCCGTACTTTCACCACCCCAGTCAAAGTCAACCGACGTCCGTGTCACGCATTTCCCGCCGGCACATCGTACAAGGAGGACCAACTCCCCAGGACCGGCACTGCTAAGTACCTTCTTCTCTAGGAAGCCGAGCTTCTCAGCTTTTCACGCAACTGTTCCAAGTACCTACCAAAGCGCAGAGAGGCGAACACACAGAACCGAAGGCTTACGCTCGAGGATCTCGCGAATAGCTGGGACTGCAGTCAGCGTGCACATACGGACCAGAAGTACTGGGCGGACTAGCTGAAATCGTGACCGCAAGCTCTGGAAACTTAACAACAATATTGTGTTCGTTATCGCTGCGCTGGCAGGCGCCGAGACCACACTGCCTGGATGAACTCGACGGGTATCTTCACGTATGTCTCCTTCTCGACTGCCTACAGCGAAACTAATTCTGGTCGCTCGCAGACCTAGGCACGGCAGGATCCCCACGCTCACGTACGGTAGAAGATCCATGGGTCGGTTGTGATGGACTCTGGTGGACTTCGCACGTCGCTTTCACGTGATAGTACATCCGAACTGTGCTGACAGTGTCTGCGTTCACAGTGTCAAAAAGAGTTTCGTTAGGAGAGCGAGCCGCCGCAAATCGAGCCAGCGCAGAAGAAGACGATGAAGCCGCGCGAGAGAGTTACAAGACGAGCCCGTCGCGCCCGGATATGTAAACAATCTCACGCCGATTGGCCCTCAACGCTGATGTACGTTGTCTCTCCGTGTGCTATCGAGTGTTGCTGACGGTCTGATATAGAACACTATCATGATGAGCGACACAAGAACTGGATCCATGAGCCGTCTCGTCAGGGCGACTCCACCTGCGACAATGAGCTCTACATGTCGTTAAGTCCCTCGGCTGTATACTCGACCGAGGCTCTTGTCACAAGACTGAGTCGGATGAGCGATGACGCTCGATGTGCCGAGTTCATTCTGGGACGAGAGGAACCGGTCGACGGCATTCCTCACTTTCGCGCCGATGGGGATGGTCGAAGAGGGCATAATGTTGGGAGACTTGTAAGCGCGGTGCCGTGTGGTACTATGCGTGATGCTATCGCGCGGCCTCTTTCCTATGGGCTGGCGTCGTTCTCTGTATCTCTGTATTGCTAGCTGCATCACATCTCACGCTCTACCAATCCAATTGAAGGCGCTTCACCCGCGTTATTCATGCACATTCCTGATGCTTATCCTAGTATCCCATTTGGGACTCCTTCGGGCATCAGCAGTCGTAGAAACGACACAATCTCGTAGCCGCTCGCCCCTCTTAGAGTGCCTACGAGTATTAAGCACCCGCTCGGGCGAGAAGCCGGTGATCCTCTTACTACCCGTCTTCTCCAGTGGACGGAGTCCTGTCCCTCATTCCCACGGGGCGGCCTCAGCAAAAGACTTCATATGTATGAGCGGTCGCGAAAGTTTGCGTGTTTGGTGACGCCTCCCCACACCAGAAGCAAACGATTGAACGGCTATAGTCCTCATGTTGCTATGTATGGTAGGGCTCAACTCTACATATGCGGAAACCAATGCCATACTTGAAGCTGTGCGGTCTGTAGCGACGCTATCGACAGGACTTCGACCGCGCCACGCAACACTCGCACTCGAGTATCTCGCCAGAGTCCGCCTTCACGCAACTCCCTCTGCATCTCCGGTCGTGAAGGGCCATCTCTTCAAGCTCCTCCGCCCAGCACTCGCTCGTGAACCCGACCTCCGCGACCGCCTCGGCCGCTGTCAGGGCGCAATCTTCACCGCTTCCCGATCCCTACACAGCGATAGACCCCCCGCGCCACACGAGCCATGTGCGGATATCAATGCCCTCACGAGAAGGCGTGCTGAAACTCAATCACGTAGCCAAGGGTGAGAAAGACAAGCCGGGATGGTCATTCGCTCTCTTGGCTCCGTGCGCAGAAGCTGCCGCACGAAATCCACGCCTTAAAGCAGTCCCTGTTAGAATGCGATGGTCTGAAACGTGGAGCCACTGACAATATGTATCCCCCATGCACGCCTTTTCGAACCGTTGCAGGTCTACTTTTCGCCGGTTCATGTTCTTCCACAGATTGCGTCCTCTCAAAGAAACCCATGAGAAAGGCGTCGCTTCCGTCAACCTCAACGAGTCTCAGTTGCATTCGACCACGTATCGATGGAACTCACATGTTGACCACGATAGCCCCGATGCTCCAAGCGTCAACGGCTGTCCCATAGCCACATTCAATCACTTCAGGCGCTACATAGGCCGGAGTGCCACATATCGTCTAACGTCCCTGTGAGCCCTCAAAACCACCTCGTAAGCAAAGGTGCTGTCATCACCTGAAGCGGGGTGTCATCAACCATCAGCTTGGACAGCCCGAAATCTGTCACTTTGATGACTGGCGTAGCTGAGGATGTATCGACGAGTATATTCTAATGCCTTTCAGATACAGCAATCGCCTGCATGACAAGTTGCTTACTGCAGGTTTCAAGTCTCGATGGACAACCGATAGTGAGTGCATGTAGGAGACAGCGTGACAGATCTGTTTGGTAAAGGCTTTGGTCACAGATGCACCTATGCTGGTCATAAGCGTGGTTGATACAGGGAGGATGCTCAATAGTTCATACTTAACCCTCGATTTGACCTTAGACGGCCATCCGAAGCCGGCGCCGCACGATTCTGAGTGATGAACCCATCGAGCGCCCCACCCGAGACAAAGTCGAGGACAAGGTCTTGCGAGCCTAGTAGTCAGGAACGGTGTGAGGAGACGGTCACACAATCAAGACGTACATGTATTGTTGTACCGTGGCTCGAGAACGGCTTCATGAAACTTGCAGATGTTTGGGTGAACCAGCAAGCGGCAGATCTTCACTTCATTCTCAATGCAGCTCTTGCGATGTTCATCGCCATCTTCGCTGTGTAGGACTTTGATCGCCCTGTATGCCCTGGGACCAAAAGACAATCTTTTCCGAGCCTTCCAAACGGCGGCTGATGCCCCTTTACCGACTGGGCGATACCAATCCACTGAGTATTGCTCATCTATGACCTTCTTCGCGGATTCATTGCTCTCATACACGAATACTAAAGATCTAATGAGGATCAAGGGTTACGCGGGACGGCTGGCAGATGACGCACTTCTGGAAGTAGGTAGTAGAGGCGGGCCTAGAGCGATCTTGTCGTTATGTTGCAAATAAGCCCCGTCGGGTAGAGATACTGCCACACCATTCACCTGATGATGGTCAGTCAGGTACACTGACAGAGGAGATAGTTGAGGTCGTCACGTACCCAGGTACCCGTAACACTGCTGCAATCCTGGATCATCACAACTCCGGATCCAGTGTCATAGCGTAAACGGCAATGGTAGGGCTCTATGTGGCTACTCAGAAACTACACATAAGCAGTAGGTAACAGATATAGCGCACCGACAGAGCGATAACCGCGTATGCGTATGTCGCAGTCCTTATACGTGCCCAGCGAGTAGAAGAAGTGCTCTTTCTTGAGCAAAGTTGCCCAACGACGGATGAGTTTGCCATTCTTGAAAGGTACCAACGTGCCAAAGAGACCCGAAACGTCGATCTCCTCTGGCTCGCCCATGGAAGTGAAGCACTGGCGTCAGAGTAGCGTAACGTCGAGCGGAGAACAGGAAGCTCGAGGGATCAGAAGAACCAATCACGGTCTACTTATAACGGAAGGTACGCAGCCTCGAGCTTGTCCTACGCGTGCGGCCGTGGCCCACGCGACGATGAAGATGATGTCACGGGATAAGCGCAAAGACGGTGCGTGACAAGGGACGCAATGGCGCAAAGTCACAAAGCCATAAGGCGGCAAAAGACGCAATAGCGTAAAGGACTCGAAAGCGGCAAAGGAAGCAAAGCCAGAAAAGAGAACGTGTTTTCGAGGAAGGGCGCGAAGAAGAGCCAAAGGGCATAGTAACAGAGGGGCAGAAAGCGGCGAGTCGCGAACTATTGCGACTAGATCGCGAGGCAGCGCCAGAGATATAAGCACCTCCGTGGCTCCTCCCTCTGTCTGTGACACTCGTCCGCTCTCGTGCTCGATGGTTCTCTCGTTCTTCGTCCGCGGTGTATTCGAGGCTTCACCCAATCGGCCATCCGGCTATCGCTGGACTCCGCATCCACCCAGTGACAACAGCAGCGGTGACAATGCGACACAACATCAAGAGGAACCCGCCGACTGTGACAGCGCCGCTGGACAGCTGAGCTCCGTGCTGGCCATGCCGGGCGCCTATCCTCGTCATCGCGGCGGGAGACGTCAGCGCGGGACGTCATGGCATAAGAGGCGACAGGCGGAAGAGGGCGTGAAGCTGGACGAAGAGTACAGGGAGCTCAACGAACGACTTCGTGACATCAGACGCCGTCGCATGGAACTTCGTAAGATGCAGGATGTCGAGCGTGCGCGAGTCGCGGAGGAGCTCAGGCATAAGCGCGAGGAGGCTATGCGGCAGCAGCGAGAGGAATTGGAGCGCCGCATGAGGCAGGAGTTGGAGCGTCGTCAGCAGGAGGAAGCCGAGCGTCGTCAACAAGACGAAGTAGCGGCACGCGAGCGGATCCGCCTTGCGGAGTACATACGCCACAAACGCGCCGCTGAGTTAGCTCGTCAGCGCGAACGAGCTCGCCTCCAGCGTGAGGCGCAGGCCCGTCAGCGTCGCCAGGAGGAGGAGCAGCGCCGGAAGCGTGAGGAGGAGGAGCGTCGTGAACGTGAGGAAGAGCAGCGCCGTGAACGTGAACGGCGGCGCCGTGATCGCGAGCGCGAGGAGGAAGAGCCACAGCGTCGAAGGAAGGCAGGTCCGGGGGAGCAGGCGCGCCAGCTCAGACTGTACGATGAGAAGTGGGACCAGTTACAGAAACGGGTCGCTCGCACATGGTCGGTGGAGCAGTTGCCGTGGCCATCTTTCGGCGGACACACCGCGCTGACCGGGGCTGCCGTGCGCGCGTTCCTCCTCCATGAGAACCGGACGGTGGTCCGAGGCGTGTCTAGCCGGACGGTGCTGCGTCGGGAATCCTTGCGCTGGCATATGGACAAGTTCCAGTTCATCGCGCCACTTGTCAAGGCAGAAGATTGGGAGCGGGTGGAGGAGTTGGCGGGGCAAGTGCAGGTGATCATCAACGATATCATGGGGAGTCTCTGAGAGCGTAGTTTCGTGGTCGAGGCTGGAAATCGGTATATGGTAGTCTTGCGCGTTTCTTGATGTTGGGTCCGAAGTCTGTATGTGTATCAGCGTAGTGATTAGCACGAGTAGAGTATATTGTACGCACCTCTGAGTATGACATGTATTCCTCAGGTTGCCCCGAGCATCATTCAGGGTGTTGTCCATTGCGTCAAGGAAATCGTCGTAAGGTAAAGGGAGGAACGGTCACGCAAGAATGCAAATATGAAAATCGCGAAGGATCGCGTTGCGTTGGTCATTCACAGAAGTCTACTACAAATCATGGCCATACATGCGTAGATGAGGAACACAGGCTTAAGGCGTAATCGGCGCAGACTACGGAGCGGGGTGCATGAGTCACTATGTAGGCGAGCGTGCGAGTCTATTGAGTAGATTAGCATCGACATAGACCAGAGAGTACATGGATGTACTTACGTGGTTCCCTGGCGGGCGTTCTCCGCACGCCGGAGCACTTACTGTACTGATGAGGGAGAGATACAAACCGCGTCGCGCGGCGCGGCAAGCCGGCCTTGGTCGGGCCGCAAACACGATCAACCACGTCCCCGTGGCTTACGGCTTGGCCAGCTTGGCCCCATCGTTCATGTTGCCGACGTACTGTAGCAAACGTCGACCGTGCAGTCTCCGACGTCCTCCTCTCCCCTTCCCATTACTGGTGGAAGATGAATCGACGCCCCTTTCGCGCGTTTCTCCGTTTCCTCCGTTTCGTGACTTTCTTGTCTGTCTTTCTGTCTTTGCTACCGGGCTCCTTGTACTCCATCCGCTATCGAAGCCCATCCTAGGATACTTCACATCATTAGATTTTCGGCACCGGAACATCACGGAAACGCGAACCTCCGTCACTCAAATAATCCACATCTCGCTGAAGGATTCGATCGGCGTCAACTGTCGCAGATCTATTGGTCGTCTCCAGCGGAACCTTGCAAGGTTATCTTGTCGATTCGCCTCCCTATACCGGTGAGCTCTCTTTCTCCACGTGCGCGGTTGCTCACTCAACTCATCGTGAGCGATACGAACGTTAGGTGAACGGCATATTCTTTTGAACGGGGCAGGTTTTCGCCCTCGGCGGATCTTCAGAGGTCTGGGTGTACTATTTATACGTAACCGCTCTTAGTAGTTTGTCGTATCAACACAGCTCAAGCTGCTAAATAAGTGTGCAATAAGAGTCTGGGTCATCTACACGTCATCAGTCGATCGGCCTTGTGGTCCTACGTCATTCAGAGACCCGGGAACCTCCTCAGCGCCAGCTCGCCCATTCATCTTTCTGATAGCACGCCGGAAATGCCATCCATACCGTGCCCACTTCCTCTCCGGGTCTGGTTCTCCGCAGGAGCGCAACGCCTCAATGAAGGTATGAATGCCTGATCCTGGTAAGTCGAACTTCCCGAGATAGAGGTACGCAGAACCTACTTTCTGGTCGCAGAACCACAAGTGCCTCAAGAGCCCGGTCACTCAGTACATCGACATCAGCGTGGGCATGATATTGTCTTCCGTGTTGTTCAAGAATCTTCCGAAGATGTGTCATATTCTGTCTTTGCTCTCAGCAGGATGTCAGCGTACCTCACGACGCACGGCCTTCAATATCTGCAACGGTGTATTGCGGGCTGCCGAAACGACGCTTGTGGCCATGTATACTCTCTTGCGAGGATCAATGCCTTGAAGAAACTCTCCGTGCGATGAGACCTGTTGCCTTGTAGATACTTCCTCGTCGCTTGAATCGATTTCGATGATGTCTTTCGCGCTCTGGACATGTATTGCCTGCTTGCTGCAGATGTAGGTCAACAACTGTGATGTAGCAGAGAGGCATCCTTGTTACTCAACAGGTTGGCATTCTTCCTCCCTCTTGAAGTGAACGTCGCCGAGTCACCGCTCCCGGCAATCGACGTTGAGGCCTCACCCTCTAGCTGCCGCCGTTTTGTTGCCGGGAGCGCCGCGTTCTGAAGGACATCAGCATGATCTTCCGCGCTGCGCCGTTTACGAGAAGTCTTCGATTGCTCCACGATGCAATCCGTGTCCTTGCTACCCAGGAAGTCACGATCATTGTGATACATCGACCGGAACGTTCGCAAGATCATTTGGCCGCCTTCGCTGTCGTCCTGATCCTCAAGTAACTCGACGTCAAGAAGACGCGTTCCAAGCTACCAACAACATTGAGACTTGGGTATGATATGTATGGAGAGCGATCCCTACTGTGTAACGCAAGCTGATGGACCATCGAGGTTTACCATGAATGTCCTTCGCGTTTGAGATCGCCCGTAAAATGCCGTGAGCAAGTAGCACCTGTACAACGGACTTAACAATGTCCTCCGAGATGTCCTCCTGGGAGCCCCCTTGCTCCGAGTGCTGCTTGTGAAGGTCCCGGCGAACGGTGCTCACGATATCGTTGAAGTGGCAGGTACCACTTTCTCTGAAAGGTCCAGACTCGAACAGGGTCACGGCTGAGCGGGCAATTGTGGTCACCCGGCGTTGCTTGAGAAGGTGAGAGTGCACGCAATTGTCGCAGGCCGTGCGACATGGTATCAGAGAGCGCAAGGGGCCTTGACCAAGGTAGCACTGCAGCTGAATATGCCGGCACATAGTGACCTCGCTTGCGAATTGAGATACGGCGAACACCTTGGCAGACCGTTTACGTATGAGCTTATGTTCGTGTTCCGCATCTTTTGCACCTTGTGTCTCTTCTGCGTAGTATAACGCGCGTTGTACGTCTTGCCAGGAGTATACTAGGTCACTCGGAAGTCACTTTTCCGGCTGAAATATACGCGAGTGTGCGAACTCACAGAGAAGACAATGCGCCTCCTTCCCATCACGGCCTGCACGGCCCGTTTCCTGGATGTAGCTGAGATTGTATGAACATCAAACGGGAGAGGAGCTTGTGCGATGCGTACTCTTCCAACATCTTTGGCGTATCATAGTGTATGACGAAACGCACGTCTGGTTTGTCGATCCCCATCCCAAATGCAATCTGTTGGGGGCCGATTACCGATGCTGTGCGACATCTTGAGTGAAGCTTACCGTCGTAACGAGCACCGGAATCTTTCCATCCAGCCACCCTCTATAAGCGGACTGCTGAGCGTCTTTACTCATCCCATGTTTTTCCCCGTAAGCAACAGCAGCGTATCCGTCACCATTGGCCTTATCGAGAGACTCCATAACCTTATCGCAGTGTCCTGTCGTGGCGCAGTAAATCAGACCTGCGTGGCGACGGCTCGAGGCTGTACCAGCATATTTCGCGAGGAAGGCGTGTATCTCTTCCATTCGGTGTCCATGGAAGTGTGTATGAACAGGTCTTACGGAGTAGAAGAGATTGGGCCGATCGAGGGGCCCGGAGACGACGCGAAAGGAATCCTTTGAGATAGACAGTTGCGATAGAAGATCGGCGCGATCTTCAGCGGTTAGGGTAGCGCTGGAGATGGTCACAGGAACTTTGTCGTAGGTATCCTGAAAACGGCTGAGATAGCCCTGGAGAAAGATAGGTGATCATTCATAGGAAACCGGAGCATAAGGGCTTACCATAGATGGTCTGAAATGGGCCCAATGTACAGCTGTGTGTCCTTCGTCAAGAACCACGCGTGCCAAAGCACCCTGTGAGTGCAGAGAAGAGAATAGATGGCTCCAGCGCCCATAGAATGTGTCGACTGTCGTATAGATCAAAGGTGGAGTGTAGCCTCCCCTGAGACGTCGATGAAGCTGGCATTTCTCGTCTTCGGAAGTGCGACTCGAGATTTCCTCCACAGAAACGCCTTGCTTAGCAAGGTATCTTGTATGAGCCGCAATGATTTCCAAGGTTGGTTGCAGTACGACAGTAGACTGCCGCGATTGCTGCGAAACGATGATCGCGGGGATTTGGAAGCACAAGCTTTTTCCTGCCCCAGTCGCAAGAGATAAAATGATGTTCTCGCCCTTTAGGGCACGGACTATTGCGGAGGCCTGATTATCTCTGAGTGCGGATATGCCTCTGACGTCGAAGAGACCTAGCGTGCTCTCAAGCTCTCCCATGTAGACGTCGATCAGCTGTTCATCGTCGATCGAAGGGACAGCTGATATGGCACGCTCGGATACAGGTGGTCGAATAGCTGATTCTCTACGTTTCACAGATGATGAGGCGAACATGTTCTGTGTGTCGCCTGGGAGTGGCGCAGGTGGTGGGGAGAGATAGGCGGCCCTACGCGTCGATGGGCAGAATCAGGTGCGGTCCCACGCTCACCGTCGATCTTGGTTCGATCTATTCTAAACCACCATAGTTGCTATGGCGATTCGCCGCTCTCTCCGCACTGTCTTTCATTAGACAAGCGGTGATGCACTTCATAGTTGCGCTTGCGCCACGCATCGTATATACTCTATAGGCGTCATACTTCTCTCATGCCGGCTCAGCTCACCTCCGGCAGTGGCGGCGCGACCTACTTCCAAGTCTACACGCAAACCCGCATGCTTGACAATGATCAGTGTCCCGTTTGTTAGATGGACATCACCTCACCGCACGCTGCTGGCGCTCGGCGATCTGTCCCACAGGTGCTGATCTCGCGACGGATTTAAGAGCCTTCTTTTCCGGAGGGAGGCGAGGAAATTGTGGGATTGAACCCGAAGGCGACAGGCAGGAAGAGGCTTTCCGTTACTGCTGCAGCCGCTGAGGAGTGTGCGAGGGAAAACACCTACTTCTCATACCTGAAGATGGTCTGGATGTATTCAGGTAGAAAGGGAGTGACTCATCCTTGCGCAACTCACACCGTGTACAGGAACGTACCAGACCTATTGACATACACAGTTCGCATTATTATCGTTCAGTACATTGGGACGTCTACATGTTGCGAATTAAATGTCCATTTCCAATTCTAACGCACAAGCGCGTGCACGTGTGATATGTCTTCCGCTCTTAGAGAGCGCGGTTCGGGCGCGGGCACATGAGCGCGTGCGACGCACGGATGATTGCTTTTGGCGTAGGAGCCTTGCAAACACCCTGCACCGAGCTATCCAGAAGTATCTAGTCGCTGTTGTGCGGGTTCGTGAAGTAATTGCTTTCTCGCCGATCCGAGGCAACGGGTACTTCCGCACTTGCGAGCGAGGAGATCTGCGTAATCTCAGCCATGGATGATCCAGCGCAGCCGTGATAGTCAGGCGCGTTTCGGGATTGCTGTCGAGTAACCTTTCGAGGAAGTCCTTTCCTATAATAGCATCAGACTACTTCATCCCCAGCGATATCGACGCAAAGACATCACCTTCATCGCTGACACCGGGACGGGTAGCTGTTCCATTCAGGTATCTCCAGTCAATACGCCGTGCAAGGACACGATGGGCTATCGGTATGTCGAGGCGATTCTTGATGAAGGGAGTACAACTGGTGAGCCTATTTACATTGACTGGATTGAATACGGGCACGCGGAAAGGGAAGATGAGCAAGACGTGCATTGTGAATACAGTCACACCAACACTCCAGCTGTCCCTGAGTGTGTTGCAGCCACGGCTCGAAGCACCGCGAGGACAGTCGAAGACTTCTGGGGCTAGATAGTCCGGAGTGCCGGCGATAATCTGAAATGTCGTAGTATGTTGGGAAGAGGCTTTCCGGCTCGATAGCGCGGACGTACATGTGACTTGTACCGTCTTCCGTTGAGAATCGCGAGGCCGAAATCCGCGACTTTGGCCACTCGTTTATCCTTGGAAAGCAGTATGTTCTCGGGCTTAACGTCGCAGTGTGCAACACCTTGAGCGTGGATGTACTAGTTGAGAAGCCGCGCGTTGAATATATCGCAACTCTGGACAGTAAAGGCGCGTACCGAAATCGCCTTGCAAATCTGTCGCGTGATGTCCTTTGCCCGTACCTCGGCTATGGAGATGAGTAACGTGAGGAATGGAAGACAAAGAGATACGTACAAAGACCGCCTTCTTGCACGATGTAGTCCAGTAGGTCTCCACCTTCTACGAGTTCAAGAACCAAGTCTAAGCGAGGGTTGAGATCAAACGTCTTGCCATCAGACTCGTCGACGCATGTACGCACAAATGCTGCCGTCTCCGTCACGAGGAAGATAGTATTCATGAAGGGAGCAGAGATTGCTGTGTCGAAGCGTGCTGTGGATGGCGATCTCGCGTGCAAGAGACTCGTGACACTCTCCCATCTCACGGCGAATAATCTTGACAGCGTACTGTCGGCCAGTACTGCGACAGACAGCCTTCATGACCGTGGCGAAGGCGCCATGACCGAGTTCGTGGATCAGGTCGTAGCGCGCATAGAAGCCAGTCTCCGAGTTGTACTGGAGGCGAAGTAGATATCGATAATCATGCTCGGTTTCCTCTTGTTCCACCGGTGTTGCGTACGCGATAACGTCGCCATCGTGCAAGACACGCGTCTTCTCCTTGCCTATGAGAGAGCCGTTCACCTACATGGTGTCAGCAAGGGGTCTGGGATTGGAAGAGGGGTGCGGCATACCCAAGTACCGTTGAGCGAATGATCATGCGCCCAGATGAGGGCCTTGTCACCATCGCGCTCATCTCGAGATATCGAAGAGTGAAGATTGCCTTGAAGTATGACGTGAGTGCTCATAGCAACATAGAAGACGATTAGACGCAGCTTACTGATTCGAGGCCCCGCAAGGCGTATGTCGTTCGCAGAGTCACGTCCGATACTGTGCATGGATTCGTGAAGGTATATCGGCCGGAGGTTGGTACGCGGGTTCAGAGGATATAAGCATCCATAAGTGCCAAGAGGGGGGGACTGAGAAGTGCGATTCGTGAATCATTACTGATTCGGCAAAGATTGATATGTGTACGAATGAGCATGACGGTCTCCGTGCAGCGAGTTCGGTAGGAGTGGGGTCGGGGATAGTTTCCACGAGCAGGGCGGTAAGCCAACGCCCTTCTATATATTTTGGCACGTATGGACATGCATCGCGTACTGTGTGCACTCGCCGGAATCACTAGGGCGCGCAAAGAGGAAAGAAGATCATCGCTATAGGGACACTTGACATGGATGTTGAGTTCATGGGGTTTACCCTGTTGGCGCGGCGTCTGGCCCTTGCATGACGTGATTTCCCAGGACCCGGCCGCCAACATTGCACTCTCCATGGCTTCAACACCCACTCGCATGTGCTGCCAACACGGAACAACAAGTCGTGCAACTTCTTGCATCTGAGGCCAGGCCACGATTGCAGACGCGAGATGTCGCCTGCTTTCGTGTGGAACTTCTTTCTCGTCTTTGGCTCTTATCGTCTTTGACTGGTATCGTCTTTCGAGCGATTACCCCTTTTCTCGTCTTTACGCGCGCTTCGAACCTGCAGTATAAAGTGTGGTGCGCCACGTAGAGATGGTCGTTGTTTTCTCGTGCTGGCTCCCGTAGTGCGTATAGCTAAAGGGATCCAGATTGCTGAACTGACAACCTTCTCAGTGCGCGACCTAGAAGGCAACCGTAACATTGGTTATCGGCAGGTGTCTGGATCGACGAAAGTCGCCTCTCGTCTTACGGATCATACTGGAACTGGGCATGAAGGAACACCGGTTCAGGTCACGATGCAGGTGCGCATTCTTAACACGCACCATAGCTCTATACTCAGTTGGTTAATCAGACTGCTTACGACGCGATGCATTCACATTCCTCCTCACAAGACGAGCTCTGTGACTCCAGCGTGGAGAGCGAGGGTTACGCGTTTGCGGAGGCTCGAGCCAGGGAGGACGGGCACCTAGCGTTTACGCCATCCAAGACATTGCACGCGCCTTGCTCAAACCGACACAAGAAGTTACGCCGGCGCTATCTGGTTCATAGCGAGTCATCTCAAGCCCTCAAGGAGCGCTCGGGCTATTTTGCCAGGTTCGTTGCCCTGGTACCACTTGACGCGCTGTATTCATCATACCTGTAGGGTTGGCGCGGCTAGTCACATCGCTTCATTCGAGAACGCCACATACACCAAGTGCCAACAGAAGAATGAGGAAGATCATGGGTTACGAACGATTGTGCGTACTAATACACTATTACCAGACAGTATCACTCCCGTACTGAGTGAAATTGACAGAGGGAGTTGAACATGAATTCCACACGGTCTGTTTCTCAACCCGAGCACCCTCAGCTTCCACCTTCGGATCTCGAGCAACGCCGTTCTCCGCATCAAACAATCCCAACGTCCGATACGCAGGCGAGGTCTCGCTCTACCACCCCCGACAGAGACCAAGAGCATGATTTCCTCGTACGACTTTCGACACGGGAAACCCCATTCCTCAACCAGGCGCACATCACTCCTAGCCCAGCTGCAGGCCACCAATGCTATGATGGTAGGCAAGGAGAGGTTCACGAGCCCGGACTCATACCGCAGCGCGATCATGGGTGTGTCGGTCAGTCCGTGAGTTCCAATCTACCCACCAATGACTGGAATTCTGCTGACGCTCGAGAGCGATTGGAGGGGCAATATGGGCAGGATGTCGGATCCAAACGTCAGTCAAACGACGCGCGCAGACCGGAGTGCGAAGGCGGCAATCTCAAACGAGAGATGGAGTATGACTGCAGTGATCGCCAAATAACGACGGATTACCGCCGCTACAGACGCGAACAGGAGATGGATCGTCGCCGCCACGCGCGTGAACAGGAGATGGACCGTCGCCGCCATGATCGCGAACAGGAGATGGATCGCCGCCGCCACGAGCGTGAACAGGAGATGGGCCGTTACCGCCATGAGCGCGAACAGGAGATGGACTGCCACCGCCATAGACGCGAGCAGGAGATTGATCGTTGCCAGCGCAAACACGGACGAGTGGCATATTGCCGCTGCAGCCATCTTCAAGCGGGGATGCAGCACCGCGAATCGGGAATACATCGTCGCAAGGAGAGGGAGCTTGAAGTGCGCCGTGAATGTGTGCCGTACGGCCCTTACCCAGATGCGTCTGTAAGTTACGTCTTATATATTGCTAACTGACGCTTGCAATGACACATCTCATAGACTCTCGAAGCTGCTTACGGGCTTCTCCAACTTGCCAATTCTTCGTCCGATCTAAGTTAGACGCAACGAGCCGTCGCTTCATCGTCTCAGATAGCACCCGACAGCCCTGAACAAGGTTCCCGTCACAACCCAGGCGTCTATTGACTGGCACTCCTAGTCTGTCGCATGCGTGCACAGCGCATGGATCTCCTGACGCGAGGTGCAGATTGACTCCAAGAAGACTACGGCGGGCCCTGTGATGACGCATCTCGATTGATCAGATCTCTAGTGTACCGTGTATTACCTCGTCCTCCGAGACAGGCTTCGTATTGCGATCATCTTGCGACCTCTTATTCTTACAGAGAAACTTTTGTCTTGCGACCAAATGTGCACGGGATAGATAAGCCGATACAAGCAGGCAACAGGCCGCGTTAGCAAGCTCAAGGGACTTCTTAGGTTTTCGTAAGGCGTATGGCCCGGAAAGTCACGCAATTGTTGCTTCCTCAACACTCAGTCTACGTTTGCGAGCACGATGCTCGCCTTTCTGATGGCATCAAATGAACGACACCGCCTTCGCGTTACCCAATGCAGATGAGTAATACGGGGGCACGACTCCGAGCTTTGGGGTCGCTAAGGACGAGAATGAGGGTTGGCGTACTTGCCAGAAGCGAAGCTGCTCTTCGAGCGGTTGCAGGGCGGGATTGATCATGTTAGAGTGTGATGGAGTATGTGCAAGAGGTGCGAAACAAGTCTGGACAAGTAGCGAGTGGAGAAGACTGAGGCCATCAGACGCGGATTAGAGAACCAAGTGATAGACCGCCATGTGCGTAATATCGTCAGTGCGATCCTGATGCACAATGAGCGGGAAGATTGGATGTACTCAAGCTCGGGTACGCACAGTCAAGAGTAAGGTCAATGACGCTTGATTCTTCGATGGCGATCTTCTTCGTCTTGGCCCCAAGCAGCTGCTTGCCCGCAATACCTGTGTTGTCTTTCAGAATGAGAACGCGCCACAATTGATACTGAGGGGTACGGACCAACGCGGGAGACGGCATCGATTGTGTCGGGTTCAGTCTTTGGTACCTTGACATCCTCGTCATGCAAGGGGTTTCTAGTACGCATCCATCCTTTCACGAAAGACAGTCCATAGCCCAGAACGGACTTGTTGGACTTGAGAACGCCGGGAAATTGCTGTCTGAGACGCACACGAAGCTCTTTGATTCCGTCAGCCATGCGAGTGGGCTCATCGTGTACGTGTCTACCAGCGTCGTACATATCCTCAGCGAAGAGTAAGATGGAGATAAACTCCACAGGAGCCAGCTAACACATTGATAAGTCAGGCGAAGTAGAGTCAACGGGGACTCACCGAGTAATGCCCCTTGCGTTCGCCAATGATGCGTGCGGCAGGCATAGTCAGGGCGCTGAAGGTCAACGCTAGTGACTCCCAAAGGCGATCTTCAGAACTTGAAGAAACCTTGCTATCGGAAGAGACCCATTGAAGAAGCTTCTGGGTGGTGATGAAGGATCTGTTGCCCGATATGATCATATGGACTGCTCGCGTCGCGAGTAGTTCAAAGGTTGGTCCACTCTTTCGAGGGCCAAAGGCCTCAACATAGGATGTGTCGTAGAGATCGCAAATTGACTCGCTCAATCGCTTGCGTGGAGTGCGGAGAGCCCCGTGGAGTTTCTGAGCAGCGTTGAGTTTCTGTCCAAGCTGAAGGGCCTGATCGGGTACAGTCAGACACCGCGTGCGTCTCCCAGATAAGATTAGCGATGCGCGCCTGAAACAGTTGTCTCTGTTCTTTTTCCATCAAAGCTGAGTATCGAACCAGCGTTATCTGTATGGCGTTGAACTCGGCGCGCATCTCAGCCGTGAGGGCCAAGCAGCGTGAGCGCGACTTCCATGCCCACCGTGTGCCATCCCTATCAGGAGTAAGATCGACTCAGAATGAATCACGAAGAGCGCGCACTCGTCAGACACGGCCACACGTCCTTCAGCAAAACTACCAGCGATAGTGAGTGTTACGTACCCATCTCTCCTTTGTACTTATGATATGAAGGCGGATATTCTCTGCTTCCCGTCGAGAACAATCCAGCGACCGTGTCCATCAGAAACTAAACGAGATGCATGCCCCTGAGTACTATGCACAGGGTATACGACATGCGCGACGGACCTAAGACGATCTGACCGGTGGGGGCTCCTGCTAGAGCGGAACCTATGAACGCTGCGTCGTCCTTCAGGCTCCAAGTGTTGTCTGATATCGACTTAGGTCAGACTGTGTATACCAGAATACCGTCTCAGTACTTGTGTGACGTGCCTCTTTGAAAGTCCGCATCCAAATTCAAGAGGTCCTGGCGTATCATGTCTAAAGGCGTTGTTAGTCCCGGGAGTGCTCTCAGTTCTTCAACGCCACGATCACCCAGCAGGCTCTCCACCGTTACTATCTTGTACCGAGGCTTCGAGAGCTTCTTTCCTATGGGTAGTGACAACGGGTTGAGAACGCCTGGCATGATCACTTGTGCGGGATCGCGCAAGATGGCGGTCAAGATCATCTTGCCGTTGCCTGCAGGCCCGACATAGTCACGCGAGAGCCACGCGATAAGCGAACGTAGTGCAGTCTGCGCTGTGACAAATATTGGGTATATTTGACAGCGCCTTCAGAGTCGCAGACCGGCTGATACCTGTACATGACGAAGCAGCCAAGGTCGCCACACCACTAATAAGAGGGTATCACATGTACAAAGAATATATAGAGCCGAGCAAAGACGTGTACGTGAGACAATTGTAGATGATACAGCAGCGACTTGTTCAGCGGCGTGCACGAGAGGGTAAGAAGTTTCTACGCTCCGTCATCGGCAGGGCCTTCTCCTATCTGGTATTTGGCAGCGAGACGTGTTGAATAGCGTCTCTCCTCAACATCAACGCGCCGGATATCGTCGACGTCATTCGCCACCCGTACCGATGGGGAGACCACGGATCCTGGCATAGTTGAACGCAATCAAAGTCGAAGTCTGCGCATAGTCGATGGAAACTCACCAACAAGATCATGGGCCTCACTAGAGGGATTGTTCTGCGCAAGCACTATGAGGATAGCTTTCGACTTGTGCTTCTCGCTTGCCACTCACCTGCGACCTATATGCAAGTCCGAAGTCGCCGATGACCACACGCATGGGCTCAGCTGTACGAATCGTGTAATTCTGAGACGGGTAATATCTTAGTGACTAATGGCTGCTGAGGGAGAGGATGCTAAGCACGTACCACGGGTTGAATGTCGCGATGTCCCGATCCTCCATGAGCACGGATTTGGGACACTGCGGCCGCCAGTTGTGCAAAAACTCCGCGCGTATTCTCAAACAACAGTCCTTATCGATACAAATGAGCAATCTCTCCCAGTCAATGCGATGTAGGAGGCTCAACTCACCGCACGAGAGCTCATGATACGGGGGTCCGAGCCATATCATAGAGTTATTCCTTAATTCGCATACGACACGGCGCGTCAACTTCAGCCCATTCACCTATCAACACATGAGCGTGGACGACAGAAACGGAATAGGGTGTTCACGCACCCAGGTGCCGTTCTGGGACTGATCCATGATTGTAGCCGTGTTCGAGTTACTATCCCAGGAGATAACAGCGTGGTTGTTGCCTATAGTAGTGTGAGTCATATTAACAAGACTATTCGCACATCTGATGCGTCACATACCCACGAACACCTTGCGGGAGTCCACCCGTACTCGAACATCAGCGTCGGGATGGCCACGTCCCACTACATGACCAGTCAGGTTGAACAGCAGAGTCACGCCAGGGAGGCATTCAGGGTCGAGATCTCCGCGGCGAACCGGTCGAATGTAGCCGAAGGCGTTTTCAGCCAAGATAAATCCCGAAGACATCCTTGCGTCGAGGAACGGGTAAGATCGGGATAACTAAGATGGAATTGCTGAGCAAGGGCTGGCTCAACTGGACACTTATACTCACCTGAATAGTGTCCTAGCTGCATGACGAAAGGCCGGTTATGCGAAAAAGTAGGAAAGGTGACAAGGCGGGAAAGGCGGCAAGGCGGGA